AAAGGGATAGGTATATACCGCAAGGCAAGAGTTATAGCTGGGGGAAAGACAATTATGAGACGATGAGGCAAGATTTAGGATGCATAGGATGGAGAAGGAAACTGCAGGGGCTGGGCACAATTGAAATGTGGAGCTTGTTCAAGGAACAGCTACTGCGTGTCCTTGATAAGGATGTACCTGTCAGGCAGGGAGGAAGTGGTCGAGCGAGGGAACCGTGGTTTACTAAAGAAGTTGAATCTCTTGTCAAGAGGAAGAAGGAGGCTTATGTAGAGATGAGGCATGAAGGCTCAGTTAGGGCGCTTGAGAGTTACAAGTTAGCCAGGAAGGACCTAAAGAGAGAGCTAAGAAGAGCCAGGAGGGGACATGAGAAGTCTTTAGCAGGTAGGATCAAGGAAAACCCTCAAGCTTTCTGTAGGTTTGTCAGGAATAAAAGAATGACTAGAGTAAGATTAGGGCCAGTCAAGGACAGTAGTGGGAAGTTGTGCGTAGAGTCCGAAGAGATAGGAGAGGTGCTAAATGAATATTTTTCGTCAGTATTCACACAGGAAAAAGACAATGTCGTCGAGGAGAATACTGAGATACAGGCTATTAGACGAGAAGGGATTGAGGTTCATAAGGAGGAGGTGTTAACAATTCTGGAAAGTGTGAAAATAGATGAGTCCCCTGGGCCGGATGGGATTTATCTCAGGATTCTCTGGGAAGCGAGGGAGGAGATTGCAGAGCCTTTGGCTTTGATCTTTATGTCATCATTGTCTTCAGGAATAGTGCCAGAAGACTGGAGAATAGCAAATGTTGTCCCCTTGATCAAGAAGGGGAGTAGAGACAACCCTGGTAATTATAGACCAGTGAGCCTTACTTCAGTTGTGGGTAAAGTGTTGGAAAGGATTATAAGAGATAGGATTTATAATCATCTAGAAAGGAATAATTTGATTAGGGATAGTGAACACGGTTTTGTGAAGGGTAGGTCGTGCCTCACAAACCTTATTGAGTTCTTCGAGAAGGGAACCAAACAGGTAGATGAGGGTAAAGCGGTTGATGTGGTGTATATGGATTTCAGTAAAGCGTTTGATAAGGTTCCCCATGGTAGGCTATTGCAGAAAATATGGAGGCATGGGATTGAGGGTGATTTAGCGGTTTGGATCAGAAATTGGCTAGGTGTAAGAAGACAGAGGGTGGTGGTTGATGGGAAATGTTCATCCTGGAGTTCAGTTACTAGTGGTGTACCTCAAGGATCTGTTTTGGGGCCACTGCTGTTTGTCACTTTTATAAATGACCTGGATGAGGGCGTAGAAGGATGGGTTAGTAAATTAGCGGATGACACCAAAGTCGGTGGAGTTGTGGATAGTGCGGAAGGATGTTGCAGGTTACAGAGGGACGTCGATAAGCTGCAGAGCTGGGCTGAGAGGTGGCAAATGGAGTTTAATGCGGAAAAGTGTGAGGTGATTCACTTTGGAAGGAGTAACAGGAATACAGAGTACTGGGCTAATGGTAAGATTCTTGGTAGTGTGGATGAGCAGAGAGATCTCGGTGTCCATGTGCATAGATCACTGAAAGTTGCCACCCAGGTTGATAGCGTTGTTAAGAAGGCGTACATTATGTTAGGTTTTATTGGTAGAGGGATTGAGTTTCGGAGCCATGAGGTCATGTTGCAGCTGTACAAAACTCTGGTGCGGCCGCACTTGGAGTATTGCGTACAATTCTGGTCACCGCATTATAGGAAGGATGTGGAAGCATTGGAGATTTACCAGGATGTTGCCTGGTATGGAGGGAAGGTCTTATGAGGAAAGGCTGAGAGACTTGAGGCTGTTTTCGTTCGAGAGAAGAAGGTAAAGAGGTGACTTAATAGAGACATACAAGATGATCAGAGGATTAGATAGGGTGGACAGTGGGAGCCTTTTTCTTTGGATGGTGGTGGCTCGCACGAGGGGACCTAGCTTTAAATTGAGGGGTGATAGATATAGGACAGATGTCAGAGGTAGGTTCTTTACTCAGAGAGTAGTAAGGGCGTGGAATGCCCTGCCTGCAAAAGTAGTAGACTCGTCAACTTTAAGGGCATTTAAGTGGTCCTTGGATAAACATATGGATGATAATGGAATAGTTTAGGTTAGATGGGCTTCAGATTGGTTTCACAGGTCAGCGCAACATCGAGGGCCGAAGGGCCTGTACTGCGCTGTTATGTTCTATGTTCCACTGATCGTCACCTGTCCCACCATAAAATCTTTGTTTCCAGTCTACTTTTGCCAAGTCCTCCCTCATTCTATTGTAGTTCCCCTTGTTCAAGCACAGGACCCTGGTATTGGATTTTATCTTCACACTCTCCATCTGTATTCTAAATTCAACCATATTGTGATCACTCCTTCCAAGAGGATCCCTAACTATGAGGTCATTAATTATTCCTGCCTCATTACGCAGGACCCGATCTAGGATAGCTTGCTGCCTCGTCGGTTCCATTACATACTGTTCAAGAAAACTATCACGGATACACTCAACGAACTTGTCCTCAAGGCTACCCTGACCGAGCTGGTTCGACCAACTTCCATGTAGATTAAAATCCCCCATGATAATTGCCGACCATTTTTACAGGCATTAGTTATTTCTTTGTTTATTGCCCGCCCCAATGTGATGTTATTATTTGGTGGCCTATAGACTACGCCTATCAGTGACTTTTTCCTCTTAGAATTTCTAATTTCCACCCAAATGGATTCAGCCTCATTCTCCATAGAACCTGTATCATCTCTCAGCACCGCCCTGATGGCGTCCTTGAATATCAGGGCTACACCACCTCCCTTACCTTCCTGTCTGTCCTTCCGAATAGTCTGGTACCCCTGGATATTTAACTCCCAGTTGTGACCATCCTGTAACCATGTCTCCATAATGGCTACCAAATCATATTCATTCGCCATGATTGGTGCCGTTAACTCATCAACCTTGTTACGAATGCTACGAGCATTCAGGTAAAGTGCCTTTATGCTAGCTTTCTTACCCGCATGATTTCCAACATCTCTAATAATATCTCTTGAGTTATCCTTCCTTTTTGCTTCTTTCATAGTCTGTCTTGAACTTAAACCCTCCTGCACACATGCTAACCTGCTGCTTACCTTTTTATTTACCATCATACTCCCTGTCGTTTTCCCTTTCCCTTTCCCTTTCCCTTCCACCACCTCCCCCCCGCCCCAGCTCACTAGTTTAAAGTCCTAGTGAGCACCCTATTTATCCTTTTCACTCGAACACTGTGGTTCCAGATCGGTTCAGGTGGAGACCATCCCATCGGTACAGATCCCTCCGGTTCCAAAACTGATGTCAATGCTCCATGAAATGGAACCCCTCTTTCCCACATCACTCCCTTAGCCACATGTTTACTTCCCTAATTTTCTGTTCCCTAAGCCAATTTGCACATGGCTCGGGCAGTAATCCGGAGATTATGACCCTCGAGGACCTGTACCTTAATTTCGTTCCTAGTGCTTGATAATCCCCAAACAGGTCCTCCATCCTCGCCTTGCCTATATTGTTCGTCCCAACGTGGATCACAAAACTGGATCCTCCCCCTCCTGCTCCAATATCCTTTCAAGCCAGTCAGAGATGTCCTGTACCCTGGCACTGGGCAGGCAACACACCATGCGGGACTCCCAATCCAGTTTGCAAAGGATACTATCTATCCCCCTAACTATAGAATCCCCTATAACTACCACTTGTCTTTTTGCTCCCCCCTCTTGAATGGCCTTCTGCACCATGGTGCCGTGGTGAGCTGGCTCATCCTCCCCGCAGCCCTTTTCCTCATCCACACAGGGAGCAAGTATCTCGTACCTGTTGGATAAGGTCAAAAGCTGAGGCTCCTCCACTCCTGAACTCGGGATCCCCCTACCTGCCTCACTTGCAGTCACACCCTGTTGTCCCTGATCACTAACTGAATTTGAATTACTTAATCTACCAGGTGTGACTGCCTCCTGAAACAAAGCGTCCAGGTAACTCTTTCCCCCTCCCGGATGTGTCACAGTGTTTGAAGCTCAGATTCCAGATGTTCAACTCTGAGCCGGAGTTCTTCCAGCAACCAACACTTGCTGCAGATGTGATCACTGCCGTTTACAATGGGATCTTACCTTCACTAAAGTTTCAACGTCTTGTTCTTCAGATCCTAGAATCCCTACAGTGCGGAAAGAGGCCATTTGTCCCACTTGAGACTGCGCCAACCCTCTGAAGATCATCCAACCCAGACCCAGCCCCCACCCTATCCCTATAACCTCGCATTAACCATGGCTAATCCATCCAACCTGCACTACCCTTGACACTATAGGACAATTTTGCTCAGCCAATCAACCTAATCTGCACACCTTTGGACTATAGGAGGAAACTGGAGTACCTGGAGGAGACCCATGCATATACAGAGAGAACAGGCATATTCCATACAAACTGTCACTGAAGGCTGGAGTCGAACGCAGATCCCTGGCACTGTGAGGCAGCAGTGCTAACCACTGAGCCGCAGTGCCGCCCCATCTAAGATCCTCTCTCATTAATGCCCTGACCTCATCCCTTATTAGCAACTGACATTCATGCATGTAGTAGGCCTTGTAGGCCCACAAATGATGCAACACAAAAACAACAGAAGACCATGAAACCCAGAGCTTCTGTCTGCTTCTGCTTGCTGGGTCTGGACATTGTCCGCAAGTGAATGAAGGGTAGTTACCAATTTGGCCATTACATTTCTCTATTTAAAACCAAACCTTTAGGTGAACCTGAGTGATTTATAGATTGTGGATTGTGGTATTATGCACCTATAGGAAGATAAGTTTACTTAACGTTTTCTCTCTGCCCATTTGTTAAGACATTGCATGAATTTTTGATAGTGTTTTCAGAGTGGTACATCTATCATGCTGCTTTAAGGAGATGTGAATGATTTTTTGTTTCTGGGATTGTTAGGCCAGCGATTTAGTCTTAATTTTTTTTTGATCGATCATAACTATTCACTAATACATGTCGATAATCATCAATCTCAACTTTTTCAGCCACTTTACAACCAGCCATCTGATACGAAGATTTACCATGAAAACATCAAAACGTAAGTAACATCTGGTATGGTTGCTGTGCTGTATGCTATGAATTGGATTGAACAATATTATGCTGTAGGGTTTGCTGCCCTGAACCCACCATACTGGATATCAGTCGGTGATGTATGTTGGAGTTTATTCACCTCATGACCCATGGAAAGCTACTGCCATCTCATGAATCTATTTTGAGTAGTTCTTAAGCAGAATGGAGCAATCTGAACAAATTACTCAACTTCATAATTTAAAAAAAATAATGTCGATCTGTTGCTTCCTTACCCATCTCTTGGTCAATCCAGCCAAACTAATGTCATAAAATAGAATGTAAGATTGGTTAAATACTGTTGTATACCAGATTTGGAACGTAGTGATCTTGTGTTCTCCTTAACACAAAATTACCACTTTTGTGTAAGTTCAATTTACTTACATTTCAAAAAGGTTTACTTAACAGACAAACTGATAATTCACAGTTACAGAGCAACATTTGTACCTTAGTCTAGTATGCTGCTGCTTGGGCTCTTCATAGCTGCTAGTCATGTGGTGTCATTCTTGTCCTTGGCTTACAGACATACTCGGGTCTTGAAGCAGTAATCAACAGAACGTGCTGCATGTTTTCCTAAAATGGCCAGTGTTTAATATTTCTTGTTAGGCTGGAAATAGGCTAGCTTCACAGTAAACTCATTGTGTAAAAGACAAAAAGAAAATCTTTTGAAATACATAAATATGATGCTTAATTTGTGGAGATATACACTGAATATGTGTAATTTTTTAATGCTGTACTGTCTATTCAGCACAATTCTTTCAAGGTGTGCTCAATCATCTATGCCTATTAATTCCTCCTTTATTAACTATGGAATCATGATATGTATGGGTAAGGAACATATCAGACAATTTGGAACCATTCATGCCAGTGTTTATGCTGCATTTAAGCCTCATCCCAGCTTTGCTATCCAATTCTAGCATAGTGATCTCTTGTTCTCTTCCTTAAATGCTTGTCTAGCTTCCCCGCAAATTTATTTATACTGTTTGTTTCACTGACTTCTGTGGTAGTGAGTTCTGTATTCTCTTCACAATTTAGAGCAAATTTCCTTCTGAATTTTCTATTAGATTTCTTGTTGATTACCTTAAAATGACAGTCTGTAGTTAAGTGCCTCTCCAAAAGTGGAAGCATTATAGTGTCAGAGTCACTTAAGGCACCACGAGAGGCCACCAGCACAATGACTCTAGGCTGGTTTGTCGCAGAACAATTCAGTCAGTCCCACTTTACCACTCAATGCCTGGAACCCTTGTAAGGTTTTTTTCTTTCAAGTGTCCATTCATTTTTCCTTTTGGAATTATTGATCCTGCATCCACTACTGTTGTAAGAAATGAGTTCTATATCGTTCCCTCTTGCTGCTTAAAAGAATGTTCTGTATCTCTTAGTCAAAACCACAAGAACTGCATCCCCTAGCCCTTGTATTGTTATGCCTCACTGAAGTAGCATGTTTGAACTCAAACCTCATTATTCCTGCAGCCAGCACAAAAGTTAAAGATTTTGTAAAAGTACGTAAAACTTCCCAATTTACCTGACTTTCTGACCTAGGTTGACAGAAAGTGTGGACCAGGTTTTGCATTTAATAGGAATTACGATTTATTGCAAATAGATTGTAGCTACAGGTAAACAGTTGTGAACTGTTACCTGTAACTCTACATTTTAAAACTGTAAACTTAATAGGTTCATCTGCAATCCTTTCCCCATTGCTTGAACAAGCAGCAGTGTAAACAGCATTTACAGTGAATGTCAGATAATTTAGCTTTTAAAAAGTGCAGCAGTCCCTTCAGCAATTCTTAAAGCAGTCCTTTTTTTCCATTTAAAAATTCAGAAAAATATACTGTATTTACTGCAACCTCAACTTATGGGTTGAGTTTTTCCTTGTTTACTTTATCTGAGCCTTTCATAGAATCGTAGAATCCCTACAGCCTGAAACATACTATGTGGCCCATTGAGTCCACACCGACCCACCAAAGAGCATCCCATCCTTCATTTTCCATTGCTAATCCACCTAACCTCACATCCCTGGACACCATGGGCAATTTTATATAGCCAATTCACCTAACCTGTACATCTCATGAAAGAAACCGGAGCAGACACAGGGAGAATGTGCAAACTCCATGCAGTCAGTCACAAGATCGTGGAATTGAGCCCTGGGGCAGCAGTGCTAGCCACTGTACCACCCTAAGGTTGATCTCATTAGCTTTATCAAATCTCCCCATAATCTCCTTTGCTCTTAGAAGAGCAAACCCAGCCTTTCCTACCTAGTCTTGTAACAAAAACTCTCACTCCCATTGTAGTAAATCTCTTTGAATCCTCTCAAGGATCTTCACATCTCTCTGGTGCCCAGAGCTAAACAAGATCCCTCTAGTTCTGACCTAACCATAACTTTATGTAGATTCAACATTCACGGGGGCCTGTGCCTACAAACACTTGCTGCTGTAATCTATAGAATGCTGAACTGGCACAGTAATTAGAGACAAAAAAACTGCAGATGCTGGAAGGTAAGGCAGATAAACAGGAGGCTGGAAGAACACAGCAAGCCAGGCAACATGGCTTGCTGTGTTCTTCCAGCCTCCTGTTTGTCTACAGTAAATCTGGTGTCGGATCTCCCTGTCAATGGTGAACTTTTGAGCGAGATGGCTGCCAAGCTGTGGGAAGTCCTCAGCATGTTCATCTTTGTACTGTTAGTAAGGTAGAAGCTCACTGAATTGAGGACAAATTGAAATAAGCTGCCAGAGGTGGTGATAGAGGCTGGTAGGGGGAGGTGATAGCCTAGTGTTATTATCGCTGGACTGTTAATACAGAGAGCCAGACAATGTTCTGGGGACCCAGGTTCGAATCCTGCCACAACAGATGGTGGAATTTGAATTCAACAAATGTGTGGAATTAAGAATCTAATGATGATCGTGAATCCATTGCCAATTGTCAGAAAAATTGGTTCACTAATGTCCTTTAGGGAAGGAAACTGCCATCCTTACCTGGTCTGGTCTACATGTGACTCCAGACCCACAGCAATGTGGTTGACTCTTAATTGCCCTCTGGGCAATTAGGGATGGGCAATAAATGCCTAGCGCTCATCCCGTGAATGAATAAAGTTTTTATAAAAAGTTACAACATTTAAAAGGCATCTGGATGGGTATATAAATAGGAAGGGTTTAGAGGGATATGAAACAAATGTTGGCAAATGGTACTAGATTAATATTAAATATCTGGTCAGCATGGACAAGTTAGACTGAAGGATCTGTTTCCGTGTTGTACATCTCTATGACTATGATTTGAAATTACTGACATGGATAAGAAATTGGTTGAGTGGCAGGAAACAAAATGTTGGAATGTTGGACAAGTATTCAAATTGGCAGGATGTGACTAGTGATGTCCTACAGGAATCTGTGTTGGGGAATAATCTGTAATTATTCTCAATTAAAGACTCGGATAATTACAACAGGATATTAATGTTTTAGGTCAATGGGCAGATTTTAATATAAACAAGTGAGGTTATCCATTTCGGACCAAAAGATCAGGGTATATTTTGGAACACACACAGTTAAGTACAGTGGATGTTCAAAAATCACCAAGGTTTAAATTGATGATACCAGGGCATCAGGAGTTAAATTATGAGGAGAGATTAAACAAATTAGGCCTTTATTCTTGAGAATTTAGAAGGTTAAGGGGTGATGTAATTGAGGTTTTCAGGATATTAACAGAGAGAGACAAGGTGATAAAGAAACTATTTCTACTGGTTGAAGATTCTAGAACAGGGGGCATAGTCTAAGAATTAGAGCCATGCCATTTGGGAGAGATGTTAGAAAGCACTGCAACCCACAAGGAGTAATGGAGATTTGGAACACTGTTCCTCAAACCATCATTGTTAAATTTAATGTGAGCTAGACATATTTTCATTAAGCAAGTGTATTAAGGGCCCATGGCAGGGAAATGGAATAAGTCACAGATCAGCCATGATCTTATTGAATGGTGGAGCAGGCTCAATGGACTGAATGGCCTATTCGTTTTCCTGTGTATATTTACGGTGGTCATCATAGATTTGCCAGAGAGGTGTCTGAGTTTACTTTTTCTGTCTGAGCAGCATTTAGTACTCGCACCAAAGGACTGTTACTCTTTAAGATGAACAACTGCTCGCAGGTAAGATTGTAAACATCAGCTATCCCGCAAACTTGGTTGACACTGGTTCAGATTTTGAAAGTTGCAGTTCTATCATGATGAAGCAATTTCAGGATTGTGGTGAAGTTTCTCAGAATTCCAAATGTCTGAAGAACAATCTACAGACACTCACAATTTACTGAATGAAATACTTGGGTCAGGTCATTAATGCAATGACCGGTTCCTGGTATTATACTCTGTATATTCTTTTTGGATTTTATTATTGGCAACAAAGACCATGTCACAGTCAACAAAAATTGAGTAAACAGAGCAGTTGACGTCACTACACTCTTATAGTGCAGTGAGAACAGGACTGTGCATCAGCAACACAATTTTTGAATTTCTACCAGCAATGCAGCTGCTGCGTTCTCCAAATTCAAAGTATGGGCTGTTTGACAAGTGCTAGTTTTCTTTTTGTAGCCAGCTGTACAAGCATTTGGGTGGAACTTCTGTAAAATCAATTATGCTGGACTGGACACTGTCTCTCCTAGGAAAAAATCCTGTTTTCTCAACTTTTAAATGGCCAATATACCAGAGGAGGACAAATAAAAGGTTGCAAAGACACTGATGTTTTCCTTGAAGCGTGGCAGCATTGGGAGGTTGTTACCAGTCATTCAAATGGACAATAACTTGTCCATCAAACTTTATCATGCTTTGTGTCAAATTACTTAATGATGAGGCAGAGTGACAGCAGGGAAGGAAAGAAAAAGAAACAGATTCATCACACAGATCCCATGTGCAGCATTCTGACCTCTGTGCCCAAAGATCATGTGTCAAGAATCAACGTGGTCAGTCATGTGAAGGTGATGGCAGTAGGCTTAC